CACACACACACACACACACACACACACACACACACACACACACACACACAGAGCCATCCCCCATGGCAGCACATATATTGAAATTAGTACCACACAAAGGAAGTGAGAAAGTGACTCTGGCCCAGCAAAAAGATGACATGAAGAGCCAAAAGCATCCCATTGTTTGGGAGGACAATATAATTAATCACAAAAAGCTTGGGCTCTGTAGTCACCCAGACTTGAGTTGTCGTCTCCATCTGGCAATTGAGTTAAACCTGCTGGGCCTCAGTCATCTCCATGGATGAATGAGGGTAATTTATCTGGCTTCATTGGGTTGCTATGAGAATGAGATGGGTCTAGAGTTTGTAACGTGTGTGTGCAACACGCTCTGATCATTTTAGGCAGTCAACAGGTGTAGCTCCTACTTCCTTCTGACCCGAGGAGTCCTATTCATTTCTTGTCACTTCGTTGGACCTCTTCTACTTCAAAGGAATGTAGAATAACACTCCAGGGTGACCTTACGCATTATCACACGTGGTTAGATATGCCACTGATTAAATCATGACCCTTAAAATGTTCTTTCCACATATAATAACAAAGTCTTGTAAAACACACTTGCTTGACAAGTTCCAGTGTCTAAGGGGGGCGTCGAGGTGCTCTGGAGGAATACTCGCTAGACTAGGAAAAAGGAGTTCCACACTTAGGTCCAAATTGCCACAGACATGTTGAGTGACTTTGCGCGAGACACTGCTTCTTAGGACCTCAGTTTTCTCAACTGTAAAATGAGGAGAAGTGGTCAGAAGCAGGAATTTTAAAACACATTTAATCAGCACTTTTCTGTTCAAATTGACTCTTGCCCATAACAGAAATACTCTGGGTATGTCAGGGGGCAGCGCTTGGTGACCCCCTTCCAACTTGGTGATGTTCACTCCCATCTTCAAGGCCACAGAGCAGAGCTGGAAACCAAAGAGTCTCCTGAGCCACTTGAAACAGCCGACAATTCTACCTATTTCTCTTCTACTTAATCGGCACTTAGTCACAAGACATGACTTTATTTTTTAATAGTATTCATATATATCAAAGCATATTATCATATTGCTTTGTTCACTTCCATGTCTGGACAATAAAAGAATATTCAACTCACTATTTTTCTTTCCTGATGTCTGACATTTTCTTCTTCTTGCTTTTTTTTTTTCTCATTTTTTTCTTTAACTTTCTTTCATTCCTGCCCTTTTTCCAGAAGGAATTCTGCATCTTGCTGATACTCTCCATTATTGAATGCCTCAGCTGACTTCCTTCCCTGCATCGCCTTGTATGTTTGAGAGTGAGGAAAGGGGCAGGACAATTGCCCTTTGGGAACATTTCTCTCTCTCTCCCCCAGGTTGTGCTTGTCTTACAGATTTCTGTCCCAAGTTCTTTCCTCTCCCTCCAGACATCCTCTAAGCGGCAACAGCATTACCTTGGAGGCTCTTTTAAAAAATGCACATTCCTAGGTGTCATCCCAGATCTACTGAATCAAAACCTCCAAGATGTGAGGCTAGGAAAGTAGATGATCAGTAGCTCCCAAAGTGAATTTTCATCGCCTTAAATTTTGAAAACCTTCCAAATCACTATCCTCAGTTTTCCCCCATTTCTCCATCTCTCGCTTCTCAGCTTCGTTCCCCTCAGTTTTCCTCCTAATTACCAGCTAACTGGTGGATGTCACGCTACTTAAATGTGCTTCCACTCTCGATCCCTAATCATGCCCATTGTGCTCCTCAAAGCTAAGTCAAGAATCGCTGCCTTTTTATTTCCCTCTCTCTATATATATTGTAGAAGGAAGCAGGTCCCTGGGCTTTTGTTGTTCCTACTTCTGGGCTGAGCTCCATTTGCTGGTGAACAGAGTTTATCTTCACTCTCCCCCTCTAAATACTGTAACATTCAGCATCCTTTCATGTCTGTGCTTTTAAAGTAAATCTTTGGACAATTAAAGATATGAAATGGCTAAATAGAGTTCTGCAGGCGTTGTTCTCTTCTTTTTAAAGGTTTAATCACACTTAATGGCTCTCTTCAAAAACTTGAATTTTCCATTTTGGTGTTTTGACTCCACTGAAAGAGTTTACTAATATTCTTTCAAAAGTATTCTCTGCTCAAATGAGCTATTCAATAAAGTTTTATGCCATGCTATAGGATTTATGCTAAATGGAAAATAATTTAAAGGGAGATCAGAGTTGGGGACGCCATTCCTCTCCACAGGTTTTGTTAGTTAAACCATAATCATCCACGTGGAATCCATTAAAGGTTGGTGCGAACGAACAAGAATTATCATTTAGATATAAGGGAATATTTCAAATCCTGTTTTAAATGCAATTTAAATACACCCTTTTCCTTGAAAATACTTTATTGTTCAGCCTTGTGATTCTATAAATAGGAACTTGCGATAAATTCTTCTTCTTTCCCCCCTCCCTTTTCCATTCTCTGCCTCTCTATTTTTTTTCTTCCTCAGAAGTAGTGGACAAAGGAGTAAGAGAGGGTAAAAGAAATCCAGGTAGTGACCAATCATTTGTTAGAGATTGCTTTAAATAAATTGTCTTGGCTCTTCCCAATCCTGGTTCTGCTGTGCTATATCTTGCTCTGACTTGTCCCCATCAGGAGTAGGAAGCTGGCTGGACACTGAGTGCCCCCGGGGTCATACTCCCAGTCCAGATGATAGAATTTGCTACTTGCAGAGGAAATTTAGTGGAAAATAAAAGCCGGTACCCCCTGACAGCATCTTTATTAACCCCTAGACTCTCTGGTGGGCTAAGTGATATGGATAAGGCATGTGATGCTAACGAGCTACATGGGCTCAGATAAGGAAAATTCATATGCTGTGTGTCTGTGACCAAATAGGGACACCCCATCTCCTGCTGCCTTCTGGCTCACCTGCCTTCTGCTTTCCCTAATCCTTTCTTCCCACAGTCACTGTGGAGTACTTGCAACGTGCCCGGTAGCAGCTAAGAGCTAGGGCAAGTTTGAGAGTGTGATGACCTGACTTTGAGGAGTTGAACATTTGGCCAAAGAAACAAAAAGTGATGTAGGTAATGAAAAGAACCCTGTGAACATGATCTGTGATCCAGGCATGGTCATTCGCTAACTACATGATTCACTAACTTCTCTGAGACTCTGGTTCTCTTCCTGGACAGGGTTGCTGAGATCAAGTAGCATGTATTGCTATCTGAAAGTACTCATTATTTATTTGTTATTTTATGTCTCCCCTGTTCCTCCCAAATAAGCTCCACGAGAGCAGGGACCTTGACCTTGCTGAATGGACACATGTGATACAGTTTAAGAAATCTTCATGAAGACTGAACTGTTGACCTTGAGCTTGGTGTGTAGGCTTCATAGGATTTCCATCGGGAAGACAAAGGAAAGTGTATTTAAAAAAGGCAGCAGCAGAGGGAATAAAATGAGGTAAAGTAAGTTCTGTTTCAAAGATGCTGAAGAGGACCAGTTTGCACACAGGAGTAACAGAGGTGCTCTGGGGAAGGTGGATTTGGGCCAGAGTTTAGAAGGCCTTCAATGCCAGGATTAGCCAGTAGAGAGATAGTGAAGGGTTTGATCAGGGGTGTGACTTGAAGAAAGTGATATTATAGGAAGGCATCGGGTGACAAGATCTGAAATAGGAATCTAAAGGAAGGGAGAATTAGGAGCTCTGACAATGCAAGAATCAATGGAGCTGGGTCACCACGCTGTTATGATGAGACGAAGGAGAAGAAAGTATTTAAGGTATGAAGACTAGAGTTCTGGTAGAATGAATAGAAATGGGAAGTGGGACGGGGAGGCCATTTTTGAGAGACATATAGTGAAATCGTTTTCAGTTATTATGAGGTGTTGGTGGAATACCCAAGTGGAAATGTCCAGCGGGCAGAGAAAAATGTGGGGCCAGAGAAAGGAACGTAGGTGAGGGCCAAAGATAACAGTGTAGAAGCCATTCCCTCGGAGGTGACAGAGAAAACCACGGGAGGAGATGGCTTCTCTGAAGGAGAGAAGAGCAGAGACCCCCCGAGGGCA